ATATATATATATATATATATATATATATATATATATATATATATATCAAAATAAAAATCATTAATGCCATTATGAGACCAATAACAAATCCCACGAAAAGTTCACCGGTGAAGAGCACAAACATAAAATTGAACAGCTGAACGTGGGTTATCTACACAACAGTCAGTCTTGACAAATCTTGTGAAAAGTATTGAGGCTGTAAAACACAAGAAAACTATGTGTATCTCACAAAACTGCTGAGCGTAGTAAGCCGTTAAATGATGGAGAGTTTGTGTGGGTCGGCTTGGTGAAAGGTCCTGAACCTCAATTTGTGTGGCCCTCAACGCTGGCTCCCTTAACAGGCACTCAGTCACCAAAACCACTGCTTTAGATTGTTTATGTGCAGGTGTGAACAAAGCAAATGTATAGGGAAATCAGAATGTGTTTTTGTATCAATAATCATCAAGCCACCACTAAAAATGATCTCATGAGGGTTTTCTCCTCAGATGTTTTCTTGTGCGGGAGTCTGCTATCCTACACTTATCCCCCTCTCTGCTTCCTTCTCACGGCAGCGAAAAAAGGGAAATTGTAAGTAATATAGTGAAAACTCCCACTACACATGCCAGCAGCATCCAGCCGCGTTCACAATTTCACACTCCGAGAGAAGAGGAGGGGTGTGATGAGAAACAGGGAGAGGAAATGTTTGACTTCTTCTCGTTTGAGATTATTTTTCCCCCTCATGCTGGAATATGAATGAAATAGTTACATTTGATTTGTATTCTCAGCCTGTGCGTCAGCAGAGAGACATAACGTGAGAGGACTTTTAACTGGTTGGGGGGGGGAAAAAGTGATTTGATAACAAGGCAACACTGGTGCTCAGAGATTATAATGCAGCTTTGAGCCACTTGTGCTTTCTGTTTTTTGAAGATTTCCCACAGATGATTACGATTGTGCTCCTCTTCTACTTAATGATCATCTTAATCACTTTAGGGCTGGGATGATCACTTTGAATGAGGATTATTTGGATGTAAGCAGACAGCTTGAACCCCTTTAACATACTGTATATTCAATAAAATCCGATTTGCCCTGTCAAGCGCTCTGACAGTTTGACGTGACGTACTTAAGAACCAGCAAGTATGCAACGTCAAACACGTTTATTTCACTCAAATGGATAAGAATCTCAATAGTGTAATGCTGTTTGACGTCTCCTCTGTTCTATAAATAACAGCAGTTACAGCATGAAAAGTGATACTGTATCTAAAGGCAGAGGGATTATATAATTTGACAGGGTTTGTTGAGGATATTAAGTGGATGCTAATTATTTAACGCAGATTGCACCATGAGGCGTACGGCGCTGTACTTTGCCTGCTTGGGAGAATCTTATCATGTCTCACTGGAGGACCTCAGGATATAGTTGAGCTATTTGCTAATATTTGCTACAAGAGAATATTTGAATTTGTGGGTATAAATGGTGGGAAAGAGTCCAATCCATGCTTTTTATGTCATGCTTTGATATTTTATCAACAACAAAAAATCAATAGATTTATCGGTAATGACAATACTTATTAGTTGCAGCCTCACTGAGTTATTTCTCTGCTCACAGCACTTGACAGGTGTTCAAAGCCATGTGAGGGTGTTATTTATATTCATTCTGACAATTTTGTTGTGCATTCATCTTTTGAATACCTCGCAGATGTTCTTTATGCTTCAAACTGTGCTCCAAATGTAACTGACTCACTGTAATGATCAAATTTGCATTTCTAATGTACGTCAGACTAAGATGCTTTATTTTGTTTTGTAGAGTAAAAGCCAGATTTCTTCTGCTGCAATATGTGAAACGGCACCTCCACATATGGCTCCCTACACTTAACAGTCGTGATATAATGTATTATTATCATTAGAGTTGAAATAATTAGTCCTTTGACAGATAATCATTTTTATAATCAATGCATTTTTTCATATTATCAATTCCATGACAAATGACAAACAATCCGTGTTTCTAGCTTCTTATATGTGAATATTTGCTGGTTTTCTTTATCTTATATGATAAAGCATTGGATATCTTTGGGTTGGGGACTGAACACGGCGTTGTAAGATGTCACTTTTGGTGCTGGGAACTTGCGAAAGGCATGTTTTTCTTTTCTTACGTTTTATAAACCAAAAGATTAATCGGGGAAATAATCAGCAGATTCATCAAGTGTGAAAATAATTTGTATTTAATATTATGATAATTCAGAAATAATTATTTCTGACAATTTTGCTATGTAGTTTAAGCATTCACCTTTCTAAAAATATTTATACACAAAATATAAATTGCATACCATTTTTCTCATACTTCATTATGTGCAAATTGAACTGAATCATTAATCAATTTTAAAAAACCAGCATCAAGTTATCAGCATTTCTAATGTGACTACAAAAAGACTAAGAAGCCAATAGCTTGTTTTGTAGTGCAAATGTGACATTTCTTCCACCAGAGATATGTCAGACTGCCCCTCCACAAACTGCTCCCTGCACATAACAGCAGTGATAAAACTTTTGATGAACAAACATATAAAAACCTTTCTATTTCAATCCCTTCCCATGTTGAAGCCAACTCAATCGATAATGTGTATATAGAATTGAGGGTGCTTTAACAATTCCCACATCTAGTTCAGTCACCGACGAAAACATCTAATCCACTGGATGCATTAACAAGGCAGCAATTAGCCTAAATATTAACCTGGAAATGGCATTGGCTACAACTGCTGCCAGCGGGGAAAACAGTCAATAACTGGCCTGCAGCATTTGTGGGGCAAGAGAACACAACATTCACGTGTAGTGCATAAATAGATGTGGGGATTTAGGTCTCCCTCTCTCTCTCCGCTCTCCAATCTGCCATCTGAATGAGTCTGTTTTCAGAAGGGTAGGGATCAGCACAGGTGACACAGGAAACACTGGACAACATTTCATAAACCTCAAAAAACATCTATCAGAACATGATGAAGCCACTATGGGGAACAGAGCTTTTAAAAAAAAGAACGTGCAATAAATGTTCCATTTAAAACTGTCGTACATACCGTCGAGAGAATAAAAACACGCATTCCAGTGTTAGTGACTCCTTTGACATTACCTGCTCTGCTTGTAGGTCTCCAGCTTGTGACCCCGCGACTGGGCCATCCTCCCAGCTGCACCTGCGAGCCAAACACAGAAGAGAACAAGGACAGCATCCACCTGCATGGTTCACATTCCCCAGAGGACGGACCTCTCCTGTCAGTCAGAATCTGCTCCCCTCAAGGGTTCGGAGCACTCTGCCTTGCTGAGACATTCCCCTTCTCCAGCGCTGGAGCCGATAAGAGGGAGGAAAAACAGCAACAGCAGCAGCAGCCACACTGAGCTATTCTACGGCCTGAGTGGAAAACATCCTACGGTGCTTAATCTCCACAGTGGGAAAAGCAATTTTGACTAAACCCATAAATCCTTGAGCGTCAGATGGTACAGATTTGATCCCTCCAGCGGCGGATGTGCCTGCCTCTCTGTGCTCTGCTCTGCTCAGATATCCTGCACTCTGATGTGCTCTTCTCCACTTCGCACCGCCCAGAAACACCAATTCTCACAATGATGCGGCACACTCATTTGTAAGGTCAACGGTTTAGAGATGCAGACTCACAGAGGCTGAGAGGGAGCTCTTTGTCTGATGTGAAAGGCTTCTCGGCTCCTTCTGATGCAGGAGTCTTGTGTCTGGCATGTCAAAATAAATCTCTGCCTCGACTGTGAATGTCGGGTTTTCTGAATGTGGATTTATTTTCGTGTCTGTCTACTGTTTTTTCTCCGGGGGAATATTTTTGGATGCTCCAAAAAAGAAAAAAATGATAACACAGGTTGATGTGTTGGCAAATCCAGCAGAAATAAGGACAATTGAATTCATCAAACAATAGAAATACATAATTTAGAGGATATATAATATGGAATATTAAGCCATTAAACTAACAGAATTTTAATATGTGCTTAATCATTTTCAACAATGCTTTGTTCCTCTGTTTTTGTCAGATGATTGATGAATAAATACAGGACTACATGCATTTGGTTACAACAGACACCTATCAAGCTGCTTTAACAAACTCAAGAGGAGAATTAATGGGTGTATTTTCAGTTTAGCAACGCACTAGAGGCTGCACCACTATTTGTCTGTCAAGGCGTGCTGTCCATCTGCATAAGCCAATAAAAAAAAACGTCTCAGCACGTCACCAGCCATGTGGCCTCCTTTTTTCAGTCTGAACAGTTGGATTATAAAATCATGAATTTGGGTTAGCTCCATGGACGTCAATCTGAAAATTGATGTAAGTAACGTTAGGCATTGTTTGTGTTTCAGATTTGCGGATTTGAGTCCTGCTGACTGAGCAAATAACAGCTACCAAACTACACAAACTAACAAACAATGTATGATTCATACACAGATCTTTTTGTTATTGTACAGTGGTGTTAAAATATAATTTGATAAGGAATTAAATAAAAACCTCTCCAGAAAATGTTCACAAGTAGGACATAGAACAGAATTCTGTCTCACAACTTCATAATTAACTTGCTGCATCTAACACACTACGTCACTACATCACAGTAAGTGAGAGCCTGACTGATACTGGATTTTTAAAGGATAACTCAAGGCAAAGGAAAAGGCATGCTGTTACTACTAGTTGGCAGCAAAAACCAGATTATTACGCTAGTGGCAGTTACACTTTGACCGATATTAATATTTGAGCTTGAAAGAAATCTGAGAATGACATATCGGGCGATATTTACTCTTTAACATGAACACACAAGAAACTAAAAAAAGTCAGTACACCGTGCCTTCTGCAGGAAATAATATCTAATGCAGAATAATATGTGCTTATTATTTAATGGTAAGTAACATTTTCTGCAGAAGACGCGGTGTGCAGATGTTTAAGTTTGTCTTGTATATCTAGCTCATGATATTTCATAGAAGAGGAGAGTGAAGCGTGTATCTTTACATTTATTAACATGAACAAACATTTTTGATAAATATTGCTAATTCAGCTCGGAATAACTTTCAATCCTGACAGTATTATGAGGTATATCAATAGTTTCCCCTACCAATTCAAATAATACAATAAATCTATTTGTATCTCCCTAGCAGAATGGAAGCATAATTACTATTACCTACAAACAAAACATATCTCCCTTGCTACAACAAAATGGACGAGCCAACAGTGACATCGGGTTTAGATGTGATAATTTAGGTCAAAACTGGCTCCGGAAGTAATGTCCCTCCTAACCTTTCTGACCGAAGTGACTTCGCTTGGCGCACAAGAGTTCAGAAACAGGCACCAGCTAGTCATCGACATGAGCTCATGGGCCTTTTGTTACGTCTGTATGCGTTGTTTCCCTCACAAGGCTTTATTATAATCCTGTATTTTTGTACCATAGCTTTGTGTATGGGGGGGATTTGAGTGCATCGACAATCGCTAGTTGTCAAACTGTAACAAGTCACCAGAAGGTGTATCTTGAACTAACCCTTCTCTTTGTTTCCATGTAGAACTAGTCACGCTCTGGCGTTAGCCAATGAACGGTAGTCATATGACAAACGTTGTTTCTCTGCCCTGAGTTTAGTCTGTCAGACAGACACACTCAGTTGTCTGCAGTACACCATCCACAGACATGTTTACAAATCATATACGTTATTTTTAAGTGCTAAATTATAGCGATGATAAAGGTTGAGGGCAGTGTAGAACACAACATTTTATAATCCGATTGAGCCAGGCGGGATTTGTGCCTGACAGGCAATGATCGGGGGATGACACGCGTGACTGGATACAGTGTCGTCATTGGCTCGCGCAATACTGGCGGGGCATTGTAAAGCGTACAGAGGACCGATAGCAGGAATACAAAGATGTTTACTGAGATGTTTTCTAGGTAGCGCTGTTTGATGAGATGTTGTACACGATCGGATAAGTACAATGACAACGAGGACATTGATTGACATGTAAATGCAAGTATAGGTGAAAATAAAGTAAAAAAAGTTGTTTTTAATTTGCCAGTTGGGTGTCATCCAGATAGCTAAGCTAATGCGGATGGCGTTGCGTTGCGGTTAGCTAACACAGCTTTTACCTATCAGTGCCGAATCAAGATGAGCTCCTCACGGGAGATAAAACGTAAGTTTCGATTAAGCACGTTTTTGCTTTGTTTGTTTACGCTGTTGATGTGGGATCTGCTCAATGTGGGATTTCTCTGCAGAGCTGCAGAAAGCAAAGAGCAAAGCGCAGAACAGCAACAATCTGCGAGAGGAAGCAAACATCTGCAATCAGCTGGGAGAACTGCTGTCCAGGAGTGGTAAGTGGTTCATAATAGTCACAATATTAAAGTTGCTTTTGAATGAAGAAATGTATTGCAGCAATAGGAATCTGTGCAGATGGCATTTATTATGTATAATAAAGGCATAACGATGTGAAATAGACATAGAGTTTTCAAACAGAATTGATAGCAGTGATGTGTCTAAATAATGCTGATTATACAGTTACTCATAAATACAGATGGAGGTTATATCACTAGACACAACTCCTCATTTAAAAAACTAAACGTCAATTTATTCACAATACCATCACATAATATTGGCCATTCTGTTGAGTTTTTAGTTGTTCTCAATCAGCATTTTTGAGCCATCATCTCTGCATAAGCTTTATAGTCCAACACACCACTGTCTTCTTCTGCTTCTTTAAAAATTAAACTGCTATCAGTGTGACATTTCTAGTAGTTTAATCAATTTAGTTGTCTTTTATTTTAGTCCTAATCACTGCATTAATTGCTTGTGTCTCTGTCACATGTTGTGTGTATGTTACACGCTCTTTCTGTCCCTATGCACTTATCACAAAAAACAAAACATATAACGATTTCCAGTAATGTAAAGTGCAGCTCCGACATTACTGTGTCCTGTTCTTAATCTACTCATTCATCCTCCCTCCTGTTTTTTTGTGTCTCTCAGGTGATTATGAGGCGGCCATCAGGGAGCACCAGCAGGAGTTGTCTCTCTCTGAGGTGCTAAACGATGTGATTGGACGAGCTGTGGCCCATCGTAAGATAGGAGAATGCTACGCAGAGATGGGAAACATTGAAGCTGCTCTGAAAGTGAGTAGATTGGTCTGCCTTATACAGAATGCCTTTTTGTGGCCATTAAACCAATACTTAAAACTATTTAGGTTAGTACTGTAGTGATACAAGCGTGCCGGCTCATATTAAAAGCGCTTCAGAAAGCATTTAAGGGGTCGTATGTATTTTTCTTCTTTAGCACCAGCGATGTCACCTGGACCTAGCTCGCTCTGTCAGAGATCATGCTGAGGAGCAAAGGGCCCTCGCCACTATTGGTCGAACCTACCTCTTCCGTTATGAATCAGACCAATCGAGGAACAGCTTGGAGCAAGCGGAGGAGGCCTTCAGGAAGAGCCTGGCCATCGTGGATGACCGTCTTGAAGGTCTGCACTGTTTTTATGTACTTGTTTTTATCCTCAGGGTTTTTATGGAGCCTATAAAACAATCTAGTGTCCATAGTTTTTGTAACGTTTGTCTGTTCCAATGTTTATCTTTCTTCCAGGGACTGTGCCAGAGCGAGAGATTAGAGAGATGAAGGCTCGCCTCTTCCTCAATCTTGGTCTGGTCTGTGATCATCTAGGGGAACACAAACGTTGCAGCGAGTTTATCAGACGAAGTGTCTTCATTGCAGAGTAAGAACATCCTAAACTATAATAATGTAAAAATAGAAAAAACGTTTCATTTTTCGCGCTCTTCACTGACCGTGTACAACAGGGATTTAAAGATTACCATAAACTATTGTTAATTCTGCTTTCTGCATTCTTGTCCTGTAAAGGAAGAGTCATCTGCTGGAGGATCTCTACCGTGCAAACTTTAACCTGGGCAACATTTACTTCCGTCACGGTCAGCAGTCTAATGCTGTGCGCTGCCTTCAACAGGCCAAAGAGTGTGCAAGGAAGATCAAAGACAAGTTCAGTGAGAGCGAGTGCTTTCACTGCATTGGCAAGGTACAAAAACCCATTCGTGAGAAAGCTTTAGCAAAAATAGTCAAATTGTGCATTCAACCAACTACCCGTTTTCTGTTATTGTGGCTGTACACTTTGTAACCGGTGCATCTGCATGACATTCATCCACAGGTGCAGCTGTCTCTGGCTGATTTTGTAGCAGCTAGACGATCTCTGAAGAAAGCTGTCTTTCTGGGTTCCCAG